AAATATTACAATATTAAAGAACTGTTCTTGTTAATTTGATGAAAACATTTTAAATATCCAGTGCACTCACATCAGAATAACTTATAGATTTGTTGTTAGAATAATCGATTAATTGAAAAAATAATCGTTAGATTAATCGATTAGAAAATAATCGTTTGGTACAGCACTATACTACATAGAGGCATTTATTGATCAAAATCTAACCCAAAATGCACAAATAGTTTGAGAAAAAAGCCCAACTCCAATCAGGGAAGACATTAATAATAATAATTACATAAATAATGAGTTATATTCATATTAYGACAGCTGCCAGTCTTTGCAGCAAACTGACTTCAAGGTAAATCTCCTACACTTCCAGCCTCAGTTTGCAGGTTAACATTAAAGTTCATCACCAAACAGAGGACTGTTGGTGTGTGTTCTTTGTTAAAAACAGAAAAACTAAAACAAAAAACAGACAATATTGTTTCTGGTTTTACTTTAAATGAAAAACACTGATAAATGAATAAACACTGAATTTTAATACACATTTTTTTTGTGTGGCCTTTATTATAGACAAACTGTGATTCGCCTACCTGGACATGCCAGAGAAGTCAGCCTCCTCTTCCTCACAGCGTTCATCCAGCTCCTTCAGGGCCTGGGTCACATCCTCCTCCCACACTGAGCCACAGGTGCTGTCTGGATCWGGATCAGGATCTGGATCAGGATCAGGATCAGGCTTGGGATCTGGTGAAATGGGCATGCACAGGGGCAGGACCATTTGGGATTCTTCTTCACAGAAGGACCCTGGTGGGGTGTCAATGGCCAACGGAGGAGGGGGGGCTGGATCCAGGTCCTCATGAGGGTTTTGAGCCTCTTGGGAATCCTGAGTGTATTGGGAGTCCTCTGAATCCTGGAGGTCAAAAAGCTCTGGTGCATCAGAGGGCAGAGTGGGGACACTGCAGAACCCCGTGTCCTCACTCATGCTGCTGCTCAGCTCGTCTGCAACCGTCATGCATGCACCGTCCTGCAACACAAAGTCACAGGAGCAGCTTAAAGACTCATTTCATGTTTAAACAAATAAAAATCATTCATGCCCTGAAATATAACCGCAAACTAAAAGCTTTCTGCAGAGTTTTTATCACTTGATCAACACGTTTAACTAGATCCAAAACAGCTCTGTTTGTGTGAATACAACTTCAACATGCAAACATGGTTGACAACTTCATTTCTATTAAATTACATTTTATATTTTACATTGTAACTTCAAATTTCAAACAAGATACACATATTGCCTTAAATATTGGGACTTTTATTTCAGGTTTTGTTGAAAAAAAAAACATGTAAAATTGTTTGGAAAAAAACTTGTCTCATCAGAAACTGAATTTGAATTGCTCAGATTGAATCTATTTGAATAATTTGAAATCAAATGCACAGGTTTGGAAATGAATATAATTAAAATTAATCTGAATTTAATGGTTTGAAACTGAATTGATTTGCTTTGAAATTGCATTTTCTTTTATTAAGAGTTCAGTTTGATTACTTTCACTTTCAGTTCCAAAATTCAGTTTTTTATGTCCCACATCAAGGTCCTTCAGAAAGCCAGAGTAATCAAAGACAGATCAACAGATTTACGTTTCACATCAGTGAAGCTTCATTTCTGTAAAGTAGGTGTTCAGTCTAAACAAAGTGGTTTTCTGAGTTGCCAAATGTAAGATAATTATTACATATTATAACTTATAATATGTATGATAAATAATTCCAAAAATCCGATAATGTTTGATAATTTAACCATTTCAATGCGTGGATGAATTAACACAGGGCTGTCTGACATGAGACCTGGTGGATTGTGGAACATATGAGGCCACTTACTAAACATTATGTGATTTTTGGAATTATTTATCATACATATTACAAGTTATATTATATGGAATATATTATTTTACATCTGGCAATAAATGCCTACTTTACAAAGAAAGTTTCACTGATTTGAAATGTAAATCTGTAGATCTGTGTTTGATTACTCTGGCTTTCTCAAGGACCCAGATGTGTGACACAAAAATCTGAATTTCGGAACTGAAATTATAGAAATGAAAGTGAAACTAATCAAACTGAAATTGTAATGCAACAAAATACAGTTTCAAAGCAAATTAATTCAGATTCAAAACTTTAAATTCAGATTCAAAATAGTGAAATTCATTTTCTAACAAATGCATTTAATTTCAAATTATTCAAATACAGATTCAATCTGAGCAATTCAAATGCAGTTTCTGTTGACACAAGTTTCTTCCGCTTAGTGTGACACATCTATGAAAACAGAAACCTTTAGTCTACGTCAGATAAATACACTACATACTGTATATTTTGTTTTATAGGATCCCATTTAGAAATAACCCAAATATGATTAAGGAGAATTTGAGATTGTGTTCGGTGAGTTGCCAACATGTCTTTGGTTTTTGTGTCTACACTCACACAATATAGACTGCATGGATTTTTAGAATGCAACTCATTCATCCTTTAAGCTTAGTTCTGCTAATTTTAGTTTCTTTCCTAAGTTTCCTGTGCTTTTTTGCTATTTTCTTTAGCTCATGGTGAAAATTGTATTTTTTGTGCCATTTATAGCTTCTTTCTGCTCTTTGCAGCTATTTTGTGCTCATTTCAGTTTCTTTTAGCTGCAACGCAGTCATTTTAGACACAATGAGCTAAAATTTGATATAGTAGAAGTTGAGAGTGATCCCAACACATACTGAAGGCTAATTAAAAATACAAGAAGGCAGCCAAAGCTAAAGCAAGCTGTCCTTCAGTGCATGGAGACTTTTCTGGGCTCTAAAGCCTGACTTATTCTTTAACAAGATGTGACATAACTGATCTGTCATTACATCATTTCGGATGTCTTTGTCTCTTGGAGTATTTATAGTCAAACTGAACACGAGGGGAATTCATCATACTAATTCCTCCCACAGCACTCCCACTGCAGCAGATGTCAGTTAAGCATATAAACGACAGTGCAGGATAGATAGATGGTCTTTTTAGATCTAATCATGTTGCTCTGTTATCAAACCTTTCTTCTTTTAATTTCTCAAACGAGGCCATCTGCTGGAAGAAACCAAATCTTTCTAATAGAGTACAGGCTGTACAGACTGCTGACTCAGTCTCACCATTTCTGCTCAGCTGGGGCCCCCCAAGGCTCTATATTAGGGCCTATTCTTTTTAGTCTTTATGTTACTGATTTGCCAAATGTATGTGTGTGTCAAAGTTCAGCTGTATGCAGATTATACTTTTTTTGTATACACATGTTAAAACAATGTAGGAAAGAGATGATAAACATTTTAAAATAAAACATCAAATTCGTTAAAAGCATCAAGTCTCGGAAAAAAAACAACTAAAGTTATAGACAAGTCTTCATTACGTTCACTACTGTAATAGCACTAAGTACAATTATCAAAGTTTTTGAGGTCTTAAATGGCCATGCTCCTCCATCTTTAAACTCTTATTCAGAAGTAAAAATGCAGAATAAACAGTAGATCAGAGACTAGAGGGGTCAGTGTTGGAGAGAGGCTGAAAACAGAGTTTAACTAAACAGTGACATCATTTAGAGGAACAATTTATGGAACTAATTGTCAGAACATAGACTGTGAAAGTTACTCCATTTTTAAAAGGAAACAAAGTTTGGCTTAAAGAAAATCAGTAATGTATTAATTTGTAAAATGTTTATTTTAACTGTGAACCTGGCAGTGTGTGATGTTTGTGTGTTTTGTTTTAATAGATTGTTGTATGTTTTATAAACTGTTTTTTATCTGCTCAGGACATCAGATGAAATTTAGCTGTAGTGCTAATTCCAGTGCATTTATGTTCATATAATATGGATTAATGTGCATAGTCCTTTTAAATAAAATAAATGAAATGGGGGTTACTGTTATTTTCACCATGATGTATCAGACGTTGGAAGAGAGACTCGTACTGTTGGATAAGGAGTCAAAGGAGGAAGCTCTGCTATTTTTCTTATTAAGCTCTGAAATAAAAAGAAGATGTGGACGTCAGCAGGTTCGCSTGCTCAAAAAGACCAGACATGAGCAGGGCAAGTTTAGTCCCTCCTTGAAGCTATCCATCTTGTTACTAACAACCCAATTTTACGAGGGAAGCAAAACAACGTGCAGAAAAAACTCCACATAAACACGCCCACAGAGTTCTGTGTGCCACAAAGCCCTGCAAGACACTGTTCTGACTGGAGGCAATGGGGCGTCAGCAGGCGGTAACACATGAAGCAGGACGTGAGAATAAATCAGACTCAACTCCGAAACCATGAAACGTAGGAACRTCAAACTGCATAGCTGGATGTACCATGGCTTAACAGTGATCAATAGTGAGTTTAGTGTCACAGGGGTCAAAGGTCATCCCTTAAATAGCTCTATATTGATAACTACACAGTTAGACACCTTGTTGGTCAGAAGACTGACTGATTTTAAGGACATGGATCAAAGGTCTTCAAATATCTCAAAATAAATAACTCATTAACATATACATGTCATACTGCACACATGGAAATATCATGGGGTTTTTCAATTTATATTTTTTGTTTCAGTTTTGTTTTGTTTGTCATTTAGCATATTTCTACTATTTTCTTTTCTGCTCATTTCACCTACATTCAGCATTTTTCCACAGTAGATCTGCTGTTTTGCAGCTTTCTACTTTTATTTTCCTGCTTACAGCAAATTTTAGCTTTTCCAATTAAACTCTCACTGACAGTTCAGCATTTATTATATTTCAGTTTTTTGTCTCCTAAATACCATACATGGTTGRCTTGACAATGATGGCTAACAAGGCATGATCACAGGCTCGCTGCTGAATTAAGTCTGCACCTAATGCTATTAAAGCSCTAACTAAGAGCATGCATTTAGTAAATTATACAGGGCGGGGGYCTGTCATTCTGAGCTAACATGTCTTAAGTGGAATCTATAAACAGCAGCAATAATGATCCATCACTGAAAATACACTAAAAACAGAGCTTGTTCTAAATTACCAGCTGCTTCCAGTTGGACGACTGAATGAGARGAGCCAACAGCCAGTGAAGAGGCCAAACTACAATGATGACTGGTATAATCTGTGGGCATGCTTCAAGTGYGCTTATAATCAATCTTACGACAGCAATGTGTCTGAAACCTTTTAAATGTGTGTGTGTAAMGTGACGACACCCCTCACACATGAAGAGAGACACACTTGGAAATACTGGAAGTCCCAATAAAGAAAACTGTTGTTTTTCTGCGCAGTTTTTTTTTCGTTCTTTTTTTAAATTTAGTGTTTTAGAAAAGCAGCATGTGGCAGGCAGCCAGTTCATCACAGAGACAGCATCTATATTATGGAAAAGCTTTTAGAGACGGTCACGGTCATCCTGAAGGGAATGAGTAAGAGTATTGACGGTTTTATCTAAGGCTCATTATACAAAGAGCTGGAACGGAGGGAAAGACCTTCAACTGATATTCAGACCACTGGCTCAGATAGAGTTCCTGGAGTTGCATTTAGCAAAGTGTGTGTGTGTGTGTGTGTCCGTTTTTGTTACATCGTGGGGACCATTTTCTAGAAAAACACAGCTTTGTGGGGACCAAAGCCCGATCCCCACGGGTATGGATGCTGAATTTGGGAGGGGTGGTGGGGGTTTTAGGACCAAGGTTTGAGTTGAGTTTAGGTTAGATTTGCTGACTGGGGTGGTTAGTTTTAAGGTAAAGGGTAAGGGTTAGGCTATAGAATATAATGAATGCAAAGTCCCCATGGGGATATAAAAACAAATGTGTGTGTGCGCAGAAATTGCTCAACTCTGTCATGCTGGTGTAAACTCTCAGGACACATTAAGGTGCCTGTGACGTCAAATTTTTGTAGTATATACGAGTGCATTTTTAGAAAGAGGACATTGATAAAATATTGCAAAAGAAATTTGATGTCGTTGAGATGAACAGTTGTTGAGATATTTGCCTGTGAAGTAACAGGAAGTGATGTCAAAGGGGAATGTCTGCCAGTGAACAGAGCAGTGCTAAAACGGCCAACAACCCAGACTGRAGAGAAGAATCTGATGTTTAATAAGATTATTTTGAGTCACTATCAGAGAGAGATGAAGAGTCAGAGTTCAAATAATATTTCAATATACAAAGACCAGAGAGTTTTTTTGTTAAAGAGCTCCCCTTTGATGTCATTTCCTGTTTCACTTTGGCTGAGTCAAGTTCAAAAGAAAATATGCCAGTTATGGGACAAAATGGGTTAAATCGTGTGTATTTTTCCAACTTTTTTAAATATAAAGATGTTTTCTTTGACTTTTTGTATTTGAAGAATATGCATGTCACAGGCACTTTAAATCTCCTCCCAAAAAAATGAACAAAACAAAACAGAAGTCCAGCTGTTAGTTTTGATCTTTTTAAGGGATTGACTGTGTTAATAGTTTGTTTCCATTTAAGTGTTGGTTATCAAAAATGAAGATAAAAACCTCTTCATTGAACACATGCTGAACACACTATTTGACACTGATCATGCACACCAATTAAATATCATATACTCTATTAGTATCTGTTAGTATCAGTGACAAATGTCAGTAGGTTAAAAGCACTAGACAGGCTTTGGCATGTTAATATGGTAGCAAACAGAAGGAGCACCAATGATTTTCATTTCAAGTGTACTTTCAATTGAACACACCATGTGAAAAGAATTCATACTCACACATGCGTCTGCTGAAGATAAGGATGCTGGTGTCGCTTTCACAACTTTTTTTATGTAAATGGAGGATTTAGTTGGATAGTCAGTTGCTGAGTTATTGGAGGTGAGCAGTAACAGCTGACCTGAGGTGAGCTTTTATATTCATCTCTTCCCAAATCACACCATGAAGCCCCAACACTAATAAAGGCACAAGAGCTAAGCAGCCAGGGACCACACCCGAAAGCAAAGCAACCAAGAAAGCAGTTGCAGAGAAGGTTTTAGAAGCTAAGATGGCAACCCAATATAGCAGAAAATACAGAACCAACACTTGTAATGGATCCAAAGACTCCCTAAACATAGCTCATCATCTCTCTAAAAACAATAGGCCAAGAACTAGAGGAATAATACACAAAAGGCGAAGAGAAAGAAAAATGCAAACTAAAAAGCACCCGAGCACCACAGTTTATTGTTTCTCCCGATTGATCGCACCTCAGGCAGCTGGCTGCTGGTGCTGTCTGAGTGGGCCATCTCCAAACTGGGGCTATCCAGGCGGGGGAGTGAGGGAAGGGAAGGCAAGGTGGGCAGGACGGTTGCTTCCTCGGTCATGGCGCTGCTGGACGATTCTTGAGACTGCTGTAAAGAGTCCACATGGTTGGAAGCTGTGTCCTCTGTGGCGGAGTCACTGTTCAGCTGAAGAAGAAAACAACAGGACAGTTGCTCAAATACAGTCTTGATTAGTTGTACAGCAACATCCACAGTTTGTCTGCCTTTATTAAATTAAATACTCCAGAACATTGTTCACTGTTTGCTTTTACTTCCAGTTACATTTTTATTGTGAAAAAAATCTGTGTTTTGCACTTTAACTGTAGAATGGTAATACCTAAGTAATACAGGCACATCTACCTCTATCTCTTATGGTTTTACGTATCACAACATAAGAAAATATTCTGGGGTCAGATTTATAAAGCTTGCATACGTAAAAAACGAGCCCAGAAACTTGCGCATGCCACTTTTCATGCAAAGGTTGTGATTTATAAAATCCAAACTTGATGTAAAAATGTGCGGTGCCTCACAGCTCTGACCCATGCGTACGCTCATTTTGGAGATGGGAAACTGTGACACAGATGGTGAAGTGAGGAATTAGAGCCACACTGTGTAATGATCACTGTCAGATATTTAATTTACCTTCATAATCAGACTTAGATTTTAGATCAACTTTAGCTTTTTTAACAGTATTGTTTATGCTTCTGCTGGTGAGCCATGAGGATCTTTGAAATAAAAAACTTAAATCTTAAATAAAAGTTCACACAACTCCATCCATCTCCTTCCTCCTCAGACGACCCTGACCCACAGACTCCTCCCTGAAAATAAGTTTAATTCTTTTTATATTTATATATTTTTTCTATTAATTTATAGACTGTCCTGTGAAGTTCACACAGTGGAAGTTCACTTAAACAAGAACAATTAGAAATGGTGAAAAGGTAAAGCCACAGATTTGTTTGCTTTATTGTAATCTGTGCTTTAAATAAATTTTACTTTGTTTATTATAAAACAGATTGATGTATTGCTTCTGTTTGTTGGAAAATACTTGAAGACATTAAAAACAATAATCGCATATTAAATCGCAATTTATAGATAAAAAAAATCGCAATTAGATTATTTTCCAAAATCGTTCAGCCCTATGAACTGGCCAATCTCTTCTTTTGACATTGATAAGTTGACTGATTTAAATACATCTCAACATTCATGAGGTACTTTGCATTGACTGTTATGGTTGAGTGTGGGCGTGAGGGTAAAACCTGGGGCAGGACTTTGTGCACAAACTCTGAAATGAAGCTGTGATCTATAAAGGAAAGATGTGCAGAAAAATGCGTACGCACYGTTTTATAAATCTGAATTATTTTTGGCGTARGTCATTTTCTTCTTTTGGCCGTACGTTTACTTTTAGTATGGTTTCCACGCAATCCTTTATAAATCCGACCCCTGGTWTTTAACCAATGATTTCAATCTAACATCAAGTGTAAAAAAAATACACAATAGATTCCACCATGTCATTAAGCCAAAACAGAAAAGCTGTGTGAAAAACTAAACCCAATTCATGATTTGTGACCTTATAGAAGCACCTTTAACATCACTATGTTTTCTGTATTCTTGCTCAGTTTCTGCAGTCTTTGTTCTTTCCAACATGGCTTCAGCTCATCGTGGTTTACATTCAAATATTTCTGCACAGCTCGCTTAACGTTTCACCACAGCATTTCAAACAGCTTCTGGTCTGAACTTTGACTGGATCATTGGACCCAGTTTCCTCAGGTCTGAACTTTGATTGGATCATTGGACCCAGTTTCTTCTGGTCTGAACTTTGATGGGATCACTGGACTCAGTTTCTTCAGGTCTGAACTTTGATTGGATCATTGGACCCAGTTTCAGCTGTCAAACAGATGGACTCAAGTTTGACTCCAGACTCATTTGGTCTACAGGAYTTCAAGATCAACTCAATGACTGCAAGGCGCCATGCACCTCTGGGTCAATGCAAATATAAATGATCCCCCTCCACCACTATGCTGARGGTTTTCAAACATGTTGCATTGATTTATGAGGAGATAATTCTACTTTGTATCACCTGTCATTCATTCTGTGTTTCATTTAAACCAAAATATACAAAGTTTAGCTGCCATGTTCTTTTTAGACAATAAGTGTGTTTCTTTGTAACTTCTTCAGTCTGTAATCATCCTGTCTTCAACTTTAACTATTAACCTGCTAACTGAGACCTGTGGAGTCTGACTTTTGATCAACTTGCTGTGATGTCAACTCTTGGCTAATCCCACTTAAAGGTGTACTTGTGAAAAATCTTTATTATAAAATTGTCTAACTATTAGAACATTTACCTTTGACCATTTCCTGTTTGATGACAGCAATAACTGCTTCTCTAAGATCACTGCTGTGCTCTTTCCTCCTTGATAATGTGGTAACACATTTGTACAGGTGCTGGTCATAAAATTAGAATATCATGAAAAAGTAGATTTATTTCAGTAATTCCATTTAAAAAGTGAAACTTGTATATTATATTCATACATTACATACAAACTCATATATTTCAAATGTTTATTTCGTTTAATTTTGATGATTACAAATGACAACAAATGAAAATCTCAAATTCAGCATATCAGAAAATTAGAATATTACTGAAGACCAAAAAAACCAAGGGATTTATAGAAATGTTGGCCAACTGAAAAGTATGAACATGAAAAGTATGAGCATGTACAGTACTCAGTATTTAGTTGGGGCTCCTTTGGCCTGTATTACTGCAGCAATGCGGCGTGGCATGGAGTCGATCAGTCTGTGGCACTGCTCAGGTGTTATGATAGCCCAGGTTGCTCTAATAGTGGCTTTTAGCTCTTCTGAATTGTTGGGTCTGGTGTATTGCATCATCTTCTTCACAATACCCCATAGATTTTCTATGGGGTTAAGGTCAGGAGAGTTTGCTGGCCAATTAAGAACAGGGATACCATGGTCCTTCAACCAGGTACTGGTAGCTTTGGCACTGTGTGCAGGTGCCAAGTCCTGTTGGAAAATGAAATCTGCATCTCCAAAAAGTTGGTCAGCAGCAGGAAGCATGAAGTGCTCTAAAACTTCCTGGTATGTGGCTGCGTTGACCCTGGACCTCAGAAAACACAATGGACCAACACCAGCAGATGACATGGCACCCCAAACCATCACTGACTGTGGAAACTTTACACTGGACTTCAAGCAACGTGGATGAAGTGCCTCTCTTCTTTTCCTCCAGACTCTGGGACCTTGATTTCCAAAGGAAATGCAAAATTTACTTTCATCAGAGAACATGACTTTGGACCACTCACCAGCAGTCCAGTCCTGTTTCTCTGTAGCCCAGGCAAGACGCTTCTGACGCTGTCTGTGGTTCAAGAGTGGCTTGCCACAAGGAATGCGACAGCAGAAACCCATGTCTTTCATACGTCTGTGTGTGGTGGTTCTTGAAGCACTCACTACAGCTGCAGTCCACTCTTTGTGAATCTCCCCCACATTTTTGAATGGGTTTTGTTTCACAATCCTCTCCAGGGTGCGGTTATCTCTCTTGCTTGTACATTTTTTTCGACCACATCTTTTCCTTCCCTTCGCCTCTCTATTAATGTGCTTGGACACAGAGCTCTGTGAACAGCCAGCCTCTTTAGCGATGACCTTTTGTGTCTTGCCCTCCTTGTGCAAGGTGTCGATGGTCGTCTTTTGGACAACTGTCAAGTCAGCAGTCTTCCCCATGATTGTGTAGCCTATAGAACTAGACTGAAAGACCATTTAAAGGCCTTTGCAGGTGGTTTGAGTTAATTAGCTGATTAGAGTGTGGTACCAGGTGCCATCCATTTTGAACCTTTTCACAAGATTCTAATTTTCTGATATGCTGAATTTGAGATTTTCATTTGTTGTCATTTGTAATCATCAAAATTAAACGAAATAAACATTTGAAATATATGAGTTTGTATGTAATGTATGAATATAATATACAAGTTTCACTTTTTAAATGGAATTACTGAAATAAATCTACTTTTTCATGATATTCTAATTTTATGACCAGCACCTGTATGCTCCAGAACAACAAGCTGACAAAACTCACATTTTATTACCGTGTTCGCATTAATGATCTGTTTTTTGTTTTGTTTTGTTCATTTGAATCGCAGCACATGACTGATACTGAATCTCTGCATTCCTAAAGAAGCAGAAAAGGTGGACTCACTCAGTTTTTCTCATTTGGTTTCATTTATGTTTAATAAATAATGACATGATGAAATCTGATGTGTTTTTCTACACTTGAGATTAGATTTAATTATTTTAGAACCTGGTAAAAATAAGATTGTCTCATGTCCTGATCTTTCTATTTCTCCATAACTGAATCTCCACAAGTGATACATTCAAATATTTACACATTAAAGTACATCAGGTTCAGTCATTTTAGTTTGAATTGTCTTCATTTGGCATCTTACAGCTTCAAGTTAAGAGTACAGTCATACTTCTTAAAACATTAACCAACATGTTTTAATATTGTGTCAAAAATACTTGAACATGCTGCAGAGTCATTGTTTGCAGAGTATAATACTGGAGAACTGCAAATGTTTTGTGGAGCACATGTCCAAAAAGGCCAAAGCTCACTCTCACCATGCACTACTAAGATTAAGAAGCACAGAAAGAGAGAAAGAGATTTCTCCTTCAGATTAAACTAAAGCATTTGTATTCATGTCATTAGTAGCAATTTTAGGTGAGAAATGTTGCAAATGAATACAAAAACAGCAGCAAATAAGAATTAGAAAGAAGCTGCTGAACAGTTAGGAATAAAGCAAACAAAATAAAAAGTCTTTCTACACTTATATAAATTAAGATTCAAACTAATAGAAACATCCCTACATCATTTTTACCAAATTTCCCTCTGGGATCAATGAAGTATTTTTGAATTTGAATTGAATTTAAATTGAATCTATACTTACCTTACAGCATCAACACACTTACAGATTTATACTGACTATCTGCAGAATGATGGCATGTTTCACACTGAGGAGGAGGAGAGGGAGGGACTGGGCTGAAGGTTGAAGGAGGAAACTACCACCAGCAAAGCAGCAGGCAGCTGATCCAGCTCAGTATGTGTGCACGCACACACACACACACGCACACCAGGCCATAGCGGGTTGGATGTCTGTGTGTGTGTTTGTGTTTGTGTATGGTGGCAGGCCCTGACTGGAGTAAAACTTACAAGACTGGAGCGGGTGAGAATCTGGCTAGCGCTCAGTACCTCCTCCTCAGATGATTCGTCCGTGTCCTCGTGGTTGGTGAGGTTGAGGCTCGGCGTGCTGCTGCCTGTGTACTGGCACTCCTGCAGAGACGGCGTGCCCCCTTTGTCCATGCTATCCAGGGAACGACGGCGCACGCCCCAGTTGAAGTTGTCCATGCTCTCCCCCTGCAGGACAGCCAAGCCAACAGCAGTGAAACACAATGTAACACAGGATATATTCAACATTCCACTGCTTAATGTTAAATAAATAAAACCTTCAAAGCTTGAACTCAGGACAAACAAAATCAAAAGTACAACAAACACTGGATGCTTTAGGGGTGAAATGTTCTCCACATTTTAGGATCATGCAAACTTCTAAATGATCTATAAAAGTGCTCACAATCACAGGAGTTAAATCAAAATGTTCTACTGCACTTCATCTGATGACAACACATGGAGATTTGAAATAACTCATGTTTTTAAGTAACGTTTGCACCCACAGACATACCTGCAGCTCCTTGTAGCAAAAGAGGAGAAAGAATAAGTGTTAGTTGACTTAAAGAAAGTTCTAAAACAAATAGCCTTGTGTTCCAGTGTTGGACAAACATGACCATGTTGTTAACCTGTCACACATCGAATTGATGACTGATATTCCTAAAAAGACAATGATACTTTCCCTCAGTTTGTTACCGGGTACACACCGGATGTGTTTTGAGCAGCAAAAACAGCCAGTTTACATGCAAAGTCTATGGTGGACATGCATCTAGGAGCAGCACGGCGCCTTTTGCCACTTCAGCACAGCAGCACAGCGTTTTCTGTGCATGTGGCTAAAGTTAAAAAAAATTTAAGTTTCGCTGCTCGACGCGCTGCAGAAACCAATAAGAGAGACTCATTTTTCCATGTGACGGTTTCCTGAACCTGAAACAGACGGACAGGAGCTCTTTAGCTGAAATTGACCGTCTACAGTTGGTGTTCTGGTTGGAGATATCAGCACCGATGCAGGTCAGCAGCTCGTTAAACTGACCGCAGTGTTAAACTGAGCTCAGGACAAAAAAAATAGTCCATAAGATCACAGCTCCTGGAGTGGTGAAACTAACCGAATAAACTGCCTTTAAATTATCTTGGTGAATTAATTATTGGCTGTGCGCAACGTTCGCTTGCTCTCAGTAAATAAAACAAAGCCATTTTCTTTATTTCATCAGTCATTAAAGACAGACTGGAAAAAACCAAGACGCTATTCCTTCTACAGACATGCGTCTCGTCTGTGCCCCGGTCTGAAAGTAGTGCGTCTAATTTGAGGCGTTGGGCATGTTTTTGCTGCTCAAAATGCGTTTGGTGTGAACCCGACTTTAGCCTGGACTGACTGTAAATCCCCACCTCAGCATCTTCCAGCTCCACATCCAGGAAGTCAAAGTCTTTGAAGACGCCAAACTGCTGCTCGCTGCCCGTATCCTCTCCTTGCACTTCCTCCTCCCTGACCACTTCCTCCACGGTTTGGATGAGGCTGGTCTGCTGGTCTGCAGAATCCAGATCCTCATTGGATGAGAAAATCACCTGGAAGGAAGAGAGATTTCTGTTCTCACATGGTCAAATTCAGACACTGTAGTTGCACTGAACACAGACACAAATAAAAGAAGTGACAACAGCAGCTGTAACAGTAAGATTCACAGAGACCCTGTGTGAAGTCTTAAAACAGGAGTGGAGTCTTACAGATGGGTTTTTGGGGATGCCAGTTTCTGGACCACATAAGGACAGGACATTCATCAGCCTCTCTCTGGTTCTTCTCTGTAAGAAGAAAACAGAACAAAACGGTTCCAGGAAGTGTCATTACAAGCTGCGTTTCTATTGCAAATGTGCGCAAAACTTTGTTGATAATCTGTTAATGTCAAAAAAACACAGTTTCGCAACTGCYGTGTTTCCATTAAGTAAGAAATGCTATTAAAGTCACGCGTGAATACGTTTTTTTCTTGCGATACGTCATTACAAACATGGCAGCGATGGATGTAAACACATAGCATGTTGCTACCACGACACTAGCGCTCATCATCAGAGGAGACGTCGGCGTCTTTTATCGAGGCTTTCCAGAGACAAGTCCCCACTTGGGAGCGGCTACGTATGCTGTGTTTTTGGGAAATTGTAGTCTGAGAGTTTACTATTTCATACTACTTCTGTGATATTACTACTATTTCTCCTTCCTGTTTTCTTCTTCTTTGTCGTCTTTATCACCAGTAGAAATAGACGGTTGTTGATCACGTGACTCCCATGATGCGAAAAAAGTGTTTCCATTGCAGTTTTGCGAAAAACACCAATTTCGATACGGCCGAAAAACCACCTCATCCTAGCGCAAAAACATTTTGTCAAAAAACTTGATTTTTTTTCGAAATTGACGTGTTTCCATTGAGCAAATTTATTTTCGAAATTCTAATTTGCGCATTTTCATGGCCAATGGAAACGCAGCTACAGACAAAGCAGTCCAACAAGCATCTTGGAGGAAAAACCATCTGGATTTTTAAATCAATCAATTCTTTACWGTTTGTTTCAGACTGTTTGAATGATTCATGTGAAAATGACCAGTGAGATCAGTCAAAAAAACTTAATACACACAGGTAAGAGCACACAGGGATTTTGACACGTTAAATATTTAGTCTTGTTTTTGGTTCTCTTACGTGTAACTTATTTTTACTAAGAATTAAAACCAAATAATCTGTTAAACATAAACATAAACCATGAAGAAACTTATCCATGACTGTGTTCTGCTGTTAGTCTCTGATTAGTTCCTCTTTTAAATGACTGGTTTGTGTTAGAGCAGGTACCTGAGAAAGGTGAGGTCTCTTCCAGCTTACTGGCACCAGCCCATTGGAGTTGGAGCCAGAGGATGTAGAGGAGGTGCTCCTTGTTACAGCGATCACCTGAGCCTTTCCGTTTCGACCAGCTGCAGTGCGCTGGTCACCATATTTATGACCTATAATTGGTGTCTGTTGGACCACAAAACACATTAAGACAGAGGCGTTTTCAAATGAGATTTAACTGTTTTAAAGTGGACATATCCTGCTTTTAAATCCTTTCTTTTCACATTTAAATCTTTCAGTTGGGTCTTTATAAAGCGGAACTACAATGCTTTGTTCTGACTTCCTTCTTATTCTAACTTTTCCAGCCCCTATTCCACCACTTTTTTGATATGTGCCTCAAAGCAGCTTGTTTTGTTACAGTTCCTATAAAGCGCTTCAAGTCCCGCCCCCTCCAGCTTCCAGACRGGTCCACTCCGGTTAGAGAGAGGGCGTTACGTTTTCTAGCTTGCAGAAACATTTTATTTACAATTTAATTTAAGAACGTCAACAACAGAACACTTGTCTGTCCAGCCTTAAATGTTGGAACCAGAGTCTGACCCAGAACCAGAGTCAGACCCAGAACCAGAGGAGAATTAAGACAAGGAAGCTGTAGTTGGTAAGTCCAGACCTTATACGGTAATTCCATCACAGATAATTTGAAGTAATTGTTTAGGAAACGTCAGAGAAAATTGAACAGGTTGAAAAATCTGACCCAAACAGAACACAAAGATATCTTTGCAGCACAAGGAGAGAATAAATTCAACTTCTCTGCCTCTTAGAGACTCCAAGTTCACAACATCATGTATTTAACAGTTAAAAAGTGGATTTTGCAGATATGTCCCCGTTAATAATAATATTGACCTCTGAGATGTCAAAATGGAAGTCCAGAGTCTTGCCAGGCAGCTCCTTGGATGAGTTGTTAAATATGCGTGTGAAGGCAATCTCTGGGGATCCACAAGATTCTGAACTGTAGGAGCGCTGCACGTCGTCTGGTACAACGAGGCTGGCTGAGCGAGACACCACCAGCTTCAGGATGTTCTGGGCCTCTTTCCAGTGCAGGCTCTGTAACAAAAACCATTCCACACTAAGAAAAAAGGCTGTACAGGTTCCTCAGACTGAATGAATGTAACAGGGGTGAACCACTGGATGGATTTGAACCAGGGCTGTCAAATGATTAATATTTTTTTATCTGATTAACCCCAAAGTAGGTGTYAATTAATCATGTTTAACCTTAAATTTAATATACATTTCTATTGCATATTGATAAAATAAAATATTTGAGTTACTAATTAGTTTTTAATGTTTTTATTTAGAAAACAAAATTGATGCTTAGACATGATTTTTTTGAATATAAAGCAGGACCTAAAAAATGCTCCAAACATATTTGAGTCAGTTAAATTTTGTGCAGAATAATGAGGTTAAATTCAAGGATTTTCATCCCAAATGAGTACTACATGAGGAATGAAAGATAGATACTAAGGTCACAGTTGTCAGCAAAACATGAATAAATAAATTAAAAGAAGCTATAAGAAGACAAAAAAAAACTGTACACAATATGTTACACATGGAGTTTTTTTAATTTATTTGTTTTATTTTATTTATTTAATATTTATTTATCCAGCTAAACTGTTTGAGAACCACTTCTCATTTACAAACATGACCTGGCATGATGCACTGAGTGCATTGCATACAAACCTACATATTCAGCCATAGTAAAGTGATTGTAAATTGTAATCGCGATTACAATTTTTATTCTATGCCCATGCAACACTAAAATTAATCAGTTAACTCGATTAATTTCACAGCCTTAATTTTAACAGAACTCAGACAAAAAGTACCAAATTAGACAGCTATCAACCTATAGGTCTTTCGCTAAGCATCTTAAAAATGGCTTGTTGATTCTTACATCTACCAACACTAAAGGTAAGCTGTATTTAATGTGTTGTATTGTGTTTTTTATGATTAATTTAATGTCCTGCTCTTATTTATTGTGTGTTAGTACTGTATTTTATTCTTGTATCATGCTGCTTTTTAACATCATGACCAGGGGACTACAGACGAAAAATAGCTGTTTGGCTGATTCTGGCATTTTTAACTTATGAATTGTCATATGTTTTATTAAATTGCACTGTCCCCTTTTAAATAAATAAATGAAAAAAAAAATCAAAATGGCCGCCATAAAAACAAATAAATTGTCTTTCTTTAGAAAAATAATGCTTAAAAGTGTTCAATGTCAAATGAAATCATATTTCTACAGTGATGAAATGTGACAAAAATCTCACCTGAACATATTTTCCAATAATCTTCATGATCTCTAGATTGAACTGTTTGACAGGTGCTGCTGATAAGTCAATATGACTCAGAAGGCTGTAGATGATCTGTAACAAGGACTGCTGCATGGAGGGAAGGCCCTTCTCCAGCAGCTGAGACACAAACATTCACCATCAGAATTGATGTGACAGACCAACATGGACGTTTGTTCTGATTCTAGAATACCTCAGCCAGGTAAGTGACCAGGTTTAAGGTCTTCTCTGCGAAGGCATCGTTGAGGTACCGACAGACCACGTTGATCCAGTTGGTGCAGTCGCGGGAGTAGCTGTGTGTGCTGTACAAGCTCATCATGTGGGCCAAGTTGGACAGCGTGACAGATTTCTCATCTGCGCACACTTTCGCTATCTTATCAGCCGTCTCCTTGCAGAAAGACGTGGGGTTGTCAAAGTGCTGGATGAGGTGRGGTAGAAGGCACAGGATGTTCAAAGGAAAACCTGCACACAAAACAAGAAAATAAATACAGCACAGGAAACTTTATTGCTCATTTGGTATGAAGCYTGTTAGCAGCACACACCTGTCACTTGAGTGGGGTCTATCAGAGCATATCTGGACACACTGATCAGCTTGCTGAGCAGGTGGATGGTGAGCTCCTGTGTGGAGGCAGAGGTGAAGCCCTTGAGGAAGAGCTGCAGCAGGCCGGGGAAGTTGTACCACTTCAGCTTGGCCTGGACAGTCTCCAGACGCTCTCTGCTATCTGTGCGATCGAGAGGCAGCTGTCCCAGCAGCTTGTTGAGGAGCCGCAGCGCCAGCAAGTACTCAAACTCATAGTCTGACTCCAGCAGCGAGGCAGCGATCCAGAACACCGTGGCCATCAGGTTGGAGGGGTCGACGGGTGGGACGGGTTCTCTCCCTGTACTCCCTCCTCCGCTGAGCGACGATAAGCTCTTTGTGCGCAGCAGGTTTGCGTGGTTACTGCTGAATCGGTCTGTGATGTCCAGGGTGTTGCTCCTCTGTCGGTCTGCTTTCCTCTCTCCCATCAGGCTGGTCCGGAGCGAGCTGCTGCGAGCGTGGACACAATGGATCAGTCCACCACTGCTGAAGTTCAGCTGGCCCGTGCTTTTCCTGTTGGCAGCAAACTTTACGCCCAGCAGGTGTTCACCGGTAGAGCTTCTATAAAGAAAAGAAACATTTTGAGTTAAAGGAGACCTATTGTGCAAAATACACTTTTTTACATGTTTTTATGCTTCAATTTGGGTCTGCACCATAGAGATATATATATATAACAGCTGGAGTGCTCAGAAACCAGGTGACCGTGTGATCGGCTGGAGAAGCTAACGGCTAACGCTAAACGGTCAAGACTGGATTTCCCATTACTGTACATGTTGACAACAGAGCAGAAAAAAGGACTGACAATGTAGAAATAATTAAAACTATTAATAATAATATTAACCCAATTATTATTAATATTTTACAGTTTATATAATCTATCTAATGTTTTAAATAATGTCAGAAAAGCTGCTTGTGTTATGGAATTATTAACAGAAGAGAAGCAGGAAAATGTCTCATTTTACAACACAAGTCAGRAGATTTGATCTTAAAGCTCCCTTGCGTACCTAAGCTTGTACCTGATTGTCTGTCAAAACAACAATTAGCAGGGCTCTAGAGTGCGACCAGTGTGGTCGCAAAGGCGACCTGATTTCTTAAAAAAATTAATAAATAAATAAAAATAATAAAAAATCCAGCGGCACTGGTGTGAATGGATCGTTGTTCGYTGCGCCAGAGCGAGACCCTGATATAAGGATTAGATGGACACTGCCTTCAACAAATCAGACGAAGTCCAGAGCCGTTTTATCCAATCAGAGCAGAGCAGGGCGGGACTTCCAGTAAGAGCAAGTTTAGTTGAAGCAGCGGTCCAGCTCGACTCGAGCTGCTGCAGTGATCAGTCACATCTCCTCCTGCACTTTGCTCCTGAACTACCAGAGACTTTGGTCTGTAAAACCTAACTTTATATTAAATATGTGTTCAGAATGTTGTTATTGAACAGATCTGTCCAACTCTGTGTGAGTGACTAAACTCTCCTCCTGAGAGACTGCTGTATGAGCGCGTGACTGCGCGCAGGCTGTCTGTGAGATTCACTGAGTTTTTCTAATTAAACCACATTAACTAACAGAACATTTGTTTG